AGATTGGAACGATGCTTCTCTCATTCAGATGTCAGCCGTGGAAAAAAAACTGTCTTTGGAAGACCGACAAGATATGAGCTAATGTTCCCTTCTGCAAAGCTAACGCAGAAACCTTTGGTATTTGTGACACTGAGGCCTTAGTGCGGACGCATGACGAGAGCGCAAGAAACGGCCCTGGCCCGCTTCTGAGGCCTAATTCCTGACCGACGGTGCGTTTGGAGTATTTCATAATGTTAAAAGGTACCGATTGTCTTGACTGATTTCCACTGGAGGTAGAATCTGTAGTCGGACTTCTCTTCAATAGCCGCGATTTCGTTTGCACAGACTCTGGACGCTACACTCAGAATATGTGGGATAAGTACGACTTAAAGCAAATTTAAGAATTTTTTTTCGAAATAGCTACCAGCAAAGAAACCTAATCTCTGCTACGGTCGGTCCTCTGTGTCAATGGTCAACCGGAAGGGTGTTGTAGAGACTAGCCAAATTCTGGATCACAGACTCGGGAAATAGATATGACCTGAAACTGCCCAGGCCTCCCGTGGGTAGAAAGGCTTGTCCATCGAACAACAGCATTTGCTGTTGGCACTTAAACAAAAAGCTGACACGGCACGAAGTAAACAAAATATTTTCGAAGTGCTAAATAGTTCATCAGTCAATCAGCAATGCTTATAGATTAACCAGTAGCGGAGATTTCGTTCCCCAAAAGAACATGAGGATTTGCAGTGGACACTTAAATACTAAGTTGCCATGGCCCGCAGGGAATCAAATCCGCGCAAAAATTCGTGGTCCAGATATAATATTCCTTTCATCATCTCCGGATGAGGAAGAAGAACAAGAACAAGAGCGGTCGAAAGGAGAGGACCCTAAGTTCTGGCTCGTAATCCCTTATGTGAAGAATGTATCAGAGGCGGCTGCAAGAATTCTGAAACCGTTCAGGACCGGTGGGACTTATAGGCCGGAGTTAACCATCAGAGAGCAGATCGTGAGGCCTAAAGACCCGCTACCGTTGACAGAACAACCAGCTGTGGTCTGCAGCATACCATGCCAAGACTACAATGCAAGGTATGTTGGTTAAACGGGCAGACGCCTTGGCACAAGGTTGCATGGGCATCAGCTCACAATCAACCGCAAGGATAAGCTGTCTATGGTCTATAACCACGTACAGCAGAAGAAC